TTTTGGTCTTTTTGAGACAGGGTCTCCCTGTAGCCCCAGCTGTCCTGGAACTCACTATGTAGACCAGGCTGGCCTTGAACTCACAGAGATCCGCCTGCCTCTGCCTCCCGAGTGCTGAGATTAAAGGTGTGCACCGTGAGAATTTTTAAACAGCATAGGTCTCATGCAGCAAGGAGTGAGTCATTCATGCAAAGTTATTGTTATTGACTTGTTTGGGCTTAGAAATACAGCAAAGGGCTAAACACGAAACTTGGTGAGATGGTTATTAATTGTGAAGGGTCAGGGGAGAGCTGACTGGACAAGTTTAAAGTGGGAATGGGACTGTCAAAGTGCACTTCCATAAAACATATTTTTGGTAGGAGACAGGATCTCATGTAATCTAGCCTAGTCTCAAATTTTCTATGTAACAGAGGCTGGTCTTGAATTCCCCACCCTCCTGGCTCTTTCTCTTGAGAGCTAAGATTACAAGCTTGTGTCACCACATTACATGGATTATATGTGCACACACATGTGTACACACTGAACCTTGAGATACCCCAGCATAACATGGCACATGCCCAGTTGGACATGTCACCAAACCTCCTCCCCTGTTCCTTATGTGGCAGCATTGTCTTATTAATTATTCCCATGAGGTCCTCCTCTTCAAACCGTACTCTTGGACCAACAGACCAACACCTGTCAATCTTCTAGCTAGACTAATATTCTCTGTGTCCAGACATCCTGTCTTATTCCCTCCTTGTAGTGGGCCATGCAGTGGTCCACTCCTTAGATGGTACATTTGTTCAGTTTGGGTTGTCAACTTGACTCAATCTAGAGTCACCTGGGAAGAAAGCCTCAATGAGGATTGTCTAGATTAGGTTAGCCTATTGGCCTGTGTGTGTGACCGGTGGAGGGGGGTGTTGATTATGTTTATTAAGATAGCAAGACCTGTCCACAGCAGGTGACTTCATCCCCTGTGCAGAGTATCTTGAACTGTAAGAGTGGAAAATGTGTGTTAGCACAATGTATTCAGTCACTGCTCTCTGTGATTTCCTATGGATGAGACAGGACCAGCCCCTCAAACTCCTGCCACTGTGACTTCCCTACCATGATGGACTGTATCCTGAAAATAAACCCCTTTGGGGGCTAGAGAAATGGCTCAGTGGTTAAAAGCATTGGCTGTTCTTGAGGAGGACCTGGATTCGAACCCCAGAACACACATGGTGTCTAACAGTCAGCTGTAACTCCAGTTCCAGGGGATCCGACACCCTCTCCTGTCCTCTGAGGGCACTGCATGACACGGGTGCACTTACATACATGCAGGCCTAACGCTTATAAATATGAACATAAATCATAAAATACACACTTTTGCTCTGAGTTGGTCTCGTCAGGGCATTTTATCACAGCAATAGAAGATGAAGCTAAGACAATTCCCAGCCCCACGGAGTGAGGCCCTGAACAACCAGACAGTGCAAACAGCGTCTAAGGGGAAGTCCCACCGAGGCCCACGGTGAGTCTCAATAGTACTGAATCAGGGGCTGGAGAGATGGCTCAGCAGTTAAGAGCACTGGCTGCTCTTGTAGAGGACCCTGGTTCCATTCCCAGTACCCACATGGCAGCTAACAACTGTCCATAGCTCTAGTTCCAGGGGACCTGACACCTTCTTCTGACCTTCACAGGCATTGCACAACACATGTACACTTACATACATGCAGGCAATACACTCATACACATAAGTAAAACAAAGAACTCGATCAAAAGCTGAAGCAAATCACAGGAGCCAGAAACTTCATATTATCCCAGGCTTTCTAGGCTGCCTAATCAAAAGCTGAAGCAACATTGTAATCCCCTCCTCCCAGGGCATAAGTCCCACCCATCAAATCACAGGAGCCAGAAACTTCATATTATCCCAGGCTTTCTAGGCTGCCTTGCTTCCTTCATCTCAGAACATCTCAGTAAAAGCCAGCAGTCAGTTCCACAATGTGATTATCTTTCAAAGTCATTGATGATAGAGGACCCATGAGAATTCTGAGTCTGGCTCATCAGGGGCTGTGGGTGATGATGCAGATCATGAAATAGGTGTAGCCTTAGGTTTATGATTTTGGAGAGCAGTCAGATAGGCTAGGAGGAGATTGGTTCTGTGACAGAAGCTGAAATACTCAACTGCAGGGCTGAGATACAGCTGGTCGGTGGTGACAGCCCCTTTGGGAGACTGAGTACCAAATATATTGTCTGGGATGCTGAGCCCCAGACAGTCTGGCTGAGGTTGGTCCTGGGGTATAGGGTGAGGTTTCTGTCCCTCATAGCACAGTGGCTGAAGACTCTTCTGGGTAAGCAAAGAATTCAGCAGAGCAGGCCAGCATTTCTTGTTGGGAGGCAAATTTTCAACAGTGACCTCCAGCGGTACCAAGAAGCAACTGCCATGTGGGGCCTCAGACTCCAAACACAGGAGGTGTGTGGAGAAAGTCAGACTAGCCTCCCACTGGAAACGTACAGTCTCCGTGGTAGTTTTAGGTCAGCAAGCAAGGAACAGGAACCACTACCACCACCCCCTCAAAAAGGAGAAACTTCTGGAATGATTCTGAGCTCTCAGAGTCAAGATCCAAGGCTTGGCATTCAGAGGACTGGCAGATCTGATTCCTGCTCTATTTGGTCTAGCAACAAAATTGCCTGGTGGTTTCCAAAGCCCCAGGACGTCTGTGAATTCTTACTCAGCCTCCAACCCTTGGCCTGCATGTTAATCTTTTCATGAAGTCTTCCCAGATTTATAGAATGGTTAATTCTTCCTTCTTCTGAGCTGCCTCCAAAGCCTCACAATGCTCAGAGATATTTCCTGCACTAGTCTAAGAAGTCTTTGAATGAAGTCTTTAAATAAAGGATCTGTGCTTTGTTCTTTATCCAACCCAAAGAATACTGCATAGAACAAACAGAAGATGTTTAAATATTTGAGAGGGAATTTGGGGAAATGTGGGAGGAGTTGGGAAGGGATAAAAGAGGGGTTCAGAATTATGCATACACCTAATTCTCCAGAAAATAAACAAAGGGCTGGAGAGATTACTCAGTGGTTAAGAGCACTGGCTGCTTTTGCAGAGGACTCAGGTTTGATTTCCATGGTGGCTAGCAACCGTCTGTGACTCCAGTTCCAGGGGATTCGACGCCCTCTTCTGACTTCCTCAGGCATTGCATGACACAGGTGCACTTACACACATGCAGGCAATACACTCATACACATAAAATAAAAATAACAAAAATTAAATATTGTTTTAAATAAACAGTTAAATGCTTAAACACATTATTTGAATAGATTTGAGAATTGTTTTCTTCTCATGTGGTTTTCTTTCTTGCCACCACAAATATGAAGGCCATTTTTTAACCTCTTTGTACTTATAACACATGGTTGATGGCTATCCTTGAACAACTGATCAAAGGTTGGTTTGATTCCTCTCGGGGCTGGCTTGGTTGGCACAGAGCTGGGGAGGTAACCATGTTACCCTTAGGCACAGCTCTGTGGCCACACAGCAGCTCACCCACAGGATTCTGTGTGGGTTTTTAAAACTACATTCTACTCCCATACCTCTATCTGAGACATGTGTAACAGTGACCACAGTAAGCCCAGGGCAGAGTGATTACCAGGCCCCAGTACTGCCCTAAACACTATGCTGAACCTCATGGCCCCTTCACTGTAACCTTAAGATAGCCTTGTTTTGAGAGAACTGAAGCAAAGGGTAGACCTGGCAGAGTTCACACAGCTAAGGGAGCTAAGTGGAACTTTGGACTGTGGGTCCCTCTTTGTTCCTTTCCATGGTACCTCATGGGGTTTTCTTCCACTGTCTATGAGGTTTATGTGTATACATTATACAAGTGTCTTACTGCCATTCTGCACCCAAGGCTCTAAACCTCAGCAATATTAAATGTTGTGGACAGGCAATCCGTTTTCCAGAGGGGCTGCCCAGTACAGTATAGAATGCCCAACAGCACATCATCCCAGACCTGGCTCCAGTAGATGCAGGAACGCCTCCCCACCTAAATGTGACCCATCTCCAGACACTGACAAGTGTCCCCACAAGTCTACTGGGCCCTCCACAGCAGCCAAAAGAACAGAAGGACATTGTCACCCACACAAGGAAAGAGTGAGCAAGAGATCCATGAACCTGCACATAAGTATCTCCTCTTCTATCCAGGAAACTGGAAACTAAAGAAATTGACAATAACATAGCACAAAAAGTATTGGCTAGCTTCAGAGAGGAACTGGGTCAGACCCATGAAGTCCCCTCCGAAGCTTCTAATAAAACAGTATATTAGATTATGAAGCCTCGTGAAATGGACTGTCCTTTCATGTCATTGAGACTTGAGTTTACCTGTATATGTGTCACAGAGTGGCCCATTCCACACAAAGCAGAGACACAACTCTCCAAACTGCCAAGAATCATTTCCAAACCTACCCAGAGCTCCTACAATCACATCATGAGATAGGTTTCATAATTTACCTAATCTCGTCATAGAAGAGGAGACTGTGGCACAGCTGGATAACAAACTTGCTCCAAGCTAGAATGTGGCAGAACTGGGATACAATCTTAGACCTTC